AGGCACAGAGAGAGACACACAGAAAGACAAAGACAGACAGACACAGAGAGACAGAAAAACAGAGACAAAGACAGACAGACAGACAGACAGACAGACAAAGACTGAGACTCAGGCAAGGTATTCTTTCAAAGGCATTCCCCCTATACTAGTTACTTTTCTAGGACTGTGATAAAACACCATAACCAAGCTGGGCGTTGGTGGCGCACGCCTTTAATCCCAGCACTTGGGAGGCAGAGGCATGTGGACCACTGTGAGTTTGAGGCCAGCCTGGTCTACAGAGGGAGTTCCAGGACAGCCTCCAAAACAATACAGAGAAACCCTGTCTCAAAAAACCAAATAAAACAAAACAAAACAAAAAAACCCACCATGACCAAGGCAACTTACAGAAGAAAGAGTTTATTTGAGGCTATGATTCCAGAAGGACAGGGTCCATGATGGCGGAGTTAAAGGAGGAACAGATGTAGTAACTGACCCGGAAGCTGGGCCCTCACATCTTAAGCTGCAAGCCGGAAGCAGAGAGCATGCTGGGGATGGCACAAGGCCTTTGAACTCTCAACGCCCACTCCTAGTGACGTAGTTTCTTCCACGAGGCCACACTTCCTAAGCCTCCCAAACAGTGCTACCAGCTGGGAACTAAGCGTTCTAGTGCCTTGGACTATTGGGGGCGCCTCACTCAAACCCTCACATTCCCAGTGCACCTACGTTGTCCAGCACGACTAACTCCCATCACCTCTCAGTACTCTATTCAAAACTCAGATTCTTCAGTAGATCCAACCACCAGTTGATCAGAGCCTTCGTGGAACCAGCCATGCATGGAAAAATGCTCACAGACATCCCAGAGGCGGCCCTTACCAGTCACACTTGCTAGCTACAGAAGCTGGGCAGTGGTGGCGCACGCCTTTAACCCCAGGCCTCAGGAGACAGAGGCAGATGGAGCTCTGTGAGTTCAAAGCCATCCAGGGCTACCCGAGATGGAACCAGTCTAAAAGAGAAACAGAGCTCACACCTTTAACCCCAGCCCTAGAGAGGTATGTAAGGGAGAAGCAAAAGGGTCTTGGGTGAGATTCAGTTTCCAGTCACAGGGAAGACGGCGTCTCCCCAGCCCTTGGTAGAGGTAAGAGCTAGTGGCTGGCTGCTTTGCCTCTCTGATCTTCAGCTTGAGCCCCAATATCTGTCTCTGGGCTTTCATTATTCATGCTACAGCCTTGCGCAAAGAGAGACGCCACCGAGGAGCAGACTCAGGTGACGCCTGAACTAGGCCTTCAGAACTGTAAGAAAGTAAGTTGCTTTCTGTGGAGGCTGCCTGGGCCGTGGTTTATGGCACAGTGGTTCTAGGCATGCCCTGTCTTCTGAGAGGGCACACTCATCCCCTCTTGGCTCCTAACATGCCCTTTAGCTTGGGCCCTGCCTCCAACCTTCGCCTGGCTTCTTTCTTCCCACTCTGGGAAGTCAAAGGAGAGGCCGGGACAGTGCTGCTCGGGGGGGGGGGGGGGGGCGACGACAGGACGGCAGGGGGCCTGGGCTTCTTCACAAGCACCTATTTCAGTGGAAACATCTAGAAATCTGTTCCCGAGCTAAAGCCACTAGTCTAGAAGGCAGAGGCTCCCTCTCCTGTCTTGGGGACGACAGCGAAGGGGCCGTCCTCAGCCCTGTGCGCACACGGAACCACCGGGCTACAGCCGTCTACGCAGGACTTCTGTCCCGCACACTGATCAGCGTTGCCCGGCCGTCTTCACCATCTCTGCAGAGGGAGGATGGCCAGGGGCTCTGAGGAGCACACACCACCTCAGAATGCGTTGGAAGAGACAACAGCGGAGAGGGCTTATGTCTCTGCACACCCGTATGTGTCTGTGGTGTTTACGTTCCTAATAACAGTTTTTCTGACACGCAGACACTCTTGAGGAGGAAGCTGAGAACGTGACTGACAGTTCGTCTGTGTCCAACAGCTTCTTGGATCAAGCCCAGGAAAGCGAAGCATTTGAGGAAGCTGTTTTGGCACTTTGATGACAGGCCAGCAGGGCAAGCTGTGAAACCACACGAAGATGGGAGCCTCCTTTCTCCTGCCCTGTTGAGGCAGGCTTGGATGTCACAGTGGCCGTCTGCCCTGCTGGGGGAAATCTTCCCACCAGCACTCAACTGAGGAAGCTTGTTAATCCATGTGGGCCAGCCACGGCATTGCTGCTGGCCTGTCGGGGCTTGCAGAGACACCGTTGGTCTCTGGGCTCTTACAGCGTAGATGGAACAACACAATTTCAATGTTGTATGAAGTCCAATAATGCAACAGACACTGTCAAAGAGAGAGATTCTAGAAGCATGTGGTCGTTAGCCAACATGTCCAGTCAGTGCGGGCCTTCTCATGGGTGAAGTACCCCCTTCCGCTGGACCCCCTGCAACACACTAAACCTGCCACTCCTTTCCTTTTCTTCTGGACTCTCTGGTGGCCTTTGTGGGTAGGTCCTTCCTGGGCCCTCAGGGTAGAGGGATGTGTCCATGGAGGAGGTCCGGGCGCCATTGTTGAAATTCGCTCTAGAATCTAGAGACTGTTGATTAAGGACTGCTTCAGCAAGCAGGCCCTAGTGAGGGAGAGCCGGAGGGGATGGCAACCCCAAGTGGGACTAAAGATAGCATGAAAACAACAGAGGATGGACAGGCACGTGCACCTTTGTATTCTACTCTATAAAACTGTATTTCTGTTCCATATCATAGTACGGAAGCCACATGAGCACATAATTAGTACCTTAGCATGTACACACTGTCAATGGTCTGCGTGCTCTGAGTTAACTCGGCTTCCAGAGGAGTGTGGACAGGGCCTATACTAGCAAACACTGACGGTACTCAGGGTTCCAAGAAGTGCCCGAGTCCGGGCATTTGGAGCATACGAGTGCAAGGGTAGTAATGACAGGGATTCAGGCACAAGCCTCCGAGACGTCTGAGAGAATCTCAGTACCAGGCATGGGATTCTGTTATCCAGAAGTTGTTATCCAGAGAGGCCCCAGAGCATCCCCAAAGTATAGTTCATGGCCTTCGTTCTTGATTGCCTTCCAGAACTAGACGGCAAGACTTTATTGCTATGTCCTAAAATTGGCTTTAGGACATAGAGAGATCAAGCATTCTGACTATTGATGTTTATATTAATAAATTAGTGCTGCCCTCAATCTTGGCCAGAGAAACTTCTCTCTGCAGTGGCCACTGGTAAATGCAGAGATTCATAGCTTTTCAAAGGGCTGAGATTAAATTACTATTGAGTGCTTAGCCTTAAACAGTACATTTATATCAACACACACACACACACACACACACACTGCAAGGCTCAGGAACATCATGGAAGAGGAGGCAGAAAGAACGTAATGACCCTAGGATAGGGAGAAGTGCTGTCTTTTGGGCATGGCATGACCTGTTTCACCCACAAACTCAATGAAGAAATGATTGCTTGCACAAGACCTGTGTAAGACCAAGCCATCCCCCTCAAAAAAAAACAGGGCCTTGGTGGCGCTCGCCTTTGATCCCAGCACTCGGGAGGCAGAGGCAGGCGGATTTCTATGAGTTCAAGACCAGCCTGGTCTACAAAGTGAGTCCCCGGACAGCCTCCAAAGCCACAGAGGAAACCCTGCCTTGAAACCACACCACCCCAAAAAAATCAACCCAGCAAGAACAGTCAGCATTCCAGCCAGCATCACCAAGGGACTCGGTGGTTCCTGGGAGCTGATTGTTGGGGCGTGTATGATCGAGTTGCATTGTTTACATGTTTGAAATTGTTCAAGAATAACTAAAAATATTCTTTACAAATACGGCCGACCACTTGGCCAGAGGGGCAGGACTGATTTCCTGAATGACCGTCCCTTGTCCCCGCTTCCCTGTAAAGCCTGCTGCTGGGAGGTGGTTTGCTGAGGTTGCTGTTTTCCTAGTTATTAACCCACTGAGTCCTCAGTCTCGGGCTCTCTGAATAGAGCTCAGCCTGAGGATTCAGCCCCTCCCTCTGCTCCTTGTGGTCAAGAGGGGGAGCTCCTGTGTCCCACTCTCAAGACCAAGCTTGACGACACTTGAAATGTGGATGCAGTCTGGATCCGATTTTCCACCATCCGCTGCCCGGCGCTGCAAACTTCGACTGATCTGTGGTAGGAGCTGGGTCTCCAGGGGGGAGTGCCAGCCATCCCCGAGGAATGTCTCTACATCAAGCTAGTGGGTTTCAGAAGTTGTATCAGCCAGGTTGAGCTGGACCATGATGTAGACGAGAAACTCCCCACATCCCAGTGGCTTAAATGACAAGCTTGTTCCTTGACCCTATGTAAACACTGCAAGGCAGGTGGTGGGGATGGGACCCTGTGGATCGTGGTTGCTGCAGAAGCAGAGCTGGGAGAGGAGGGCTTCGACCTACCGCGTCCTTCTGTTGTTACCCAGGCTCTGCCCGGAGGTGAGCCTCACCTGCAATGCTGGCCTTCCTCCCAGCCAACAGGCTGTCACCAAACTGTGAGGGCTCATAGGGTAGAAATTGTTTATTTTGAATAGCCTAACATAGTGACAGGGGACTTCTGGCTGGGAGTGGCCAGGAGCTGGGTGTGTCTCCCTTCTCCTGGGCTGAGTTCATTCCAGCATTCACGGGCAGGCCTTAGGATGGAGACTTTGGGAGTTTTTGTTATCCCGTGAGAGCTCTCTGAGCTTTCAACTTTCTCAGCCAACTGTGAAATCCAATTTAGAACTCAGCCGGGCCTGGTAATTCCACCTTCCTCAGGGTGTCGACAGGGGAACAGCAGCCTCAGGGCTGCCTGGTAAGATGGTTCAGAGAGTAAGGGAGCATGCCACCAACCCTCAAGGCCTGTCTTTGTTTCCTGGGCCCCATACGGAGGAAGAAGAGACCCGAACGCCATACACATGTTGTCCTCTGATCTCCACACATGCACTGCAACACACACACACATGCACACACACATACACGCACACACATACACACTTACATAATGTTAAAAACTCAGAAGCTAACTACGAGGTTTTTTGGGGGGATTTTTTGCTTTTTGTTTTTTTTTTTAATTGTTGGAACTTAGAGAGAGCACAGTCAAGGGAGGATGGAAACAATTTTAAACAAACAGAAACCAGGGTGGCCCTGCCTTTGCCAAGAGTGTTGGATAGAGCTGAGGGATGGATGGGTTGGAAACGGAGTGTGTCACAGCTGTTGGAAACGGGACAGGAGAAAGGAATGGCTCTACTCCTCAGGGCTGCTAAGCCCTCCTCAGCAAAGCCCAAGGTTTTGTTGTGATGCGTTATGGAGGTGTGTGTGTGTTTGTGTGTGTGTGTGTGTGTGTTCCAGGCACCTGCCTTCTTTTGGCGGGAGCTTATCTCCCCCTTCCCCAGCTATCCCAGTCACATTCTGTAGGAGTGAACTAACGATGGCCTTGTCAGGCTCCCACATTTACCTCTCAGGACATCAACAGGACAAGCAGAGATCCAGAGCTAGAGGCAGGTGGCTGTCCTGGGGCAGCTGAACCTTAGGAACGGTGCCCAAGGCTGCCCTGGGCCTTGCTGAAGGCCGTTCCCAGCCGGGGCAGCCCAGACCACAGTCTGTTAAAATGTCCTATGGCATCACGTGCCGCAGGCTGCAACTTCAGGTGGCCCCCGCATAATCACAGTTTCTGGGGGAACTCCGGTTTTAAGACACTTAACGGGCGGGGTCATTTCCTACCAGAAATATCCGGAATGTTCGCACACTTGTTACCTTTCTGAGTCTTTGGAGGGTTGGAACCCGTTTATAAAAACATCTGCCCATTTGTATATTTTGTCGACATCAATATCGAAAGCCAGGATGGCCTCGGAAGACGGGTCCTCTGTCACATTTTGTCATCGAGGGCTCTCTACCGCCTCCCTGGAATCTTCTAGAATGGGCTACTTAGGCCTACCGAGGAGAACCCAGGAACTGATACAGTTTGTCAAGTGGATGGTGTCAGGCCTGGGAACCTTCAGAAGTGGTAGTAATTCCCCCTCCCCACCTCCAGCCCCCGTGCTTTAAGCTCCCAGGGGATCAGGTTTGGTCCTGCGGGTCATTGGGCGTGGCCTTTGGGTCAGAAAATTCAGCAGTGCCTAGTCCTCACCCTGCGAGGGGCAGTGAGGGTAAAGGGCCGCTCAAAAATGAGGCAAGGCCTGCAGAAAAGGCCTCCAGGGGTGAATGACCCTGGGCACCAGGCTGAGCTGCTGCAGCTGCAGCTGCAGCCGGGTGGGCCTGTAGGCCACGAAGCTGCTGTACAGAGCCGGGGCTCCCTCGTAGGGCCTCATGGGGACCCAGAGCGCCTGTGGGGCCAGGGCTCTGCGCGGGCCGTGATAGGGCTGGGGCCTCGGAAGCACGGGAGGGACGGGGGCCGGGGGACTGCAGGGCCCCGGGGACGTGGGCCGGCTCTGGTTGAAGGGATGGCTGTCGTCAGACAGGCTGCTGAAGGGGTTGGAGGAGGTGCGGGCACTGGTCGAGCCGCTGCTGCCGCTGAGGCGGCCGTTGGGGGCTCCCGGACCCTTGCAGGGCTGGAGGGGAGCCACCAGCCTCGGGGACTTGAGGCCCATCACAGGCTTGGAGGAGGCGTAGAGGCGGCGGAACTCCTCGTCAAACAGCTCGACAGCCTGGCCGGTGAACTTGGAGAGGATGTTCCTGTGCACGTGGCCGCACAGCCAAGACAAGCTGGAGGGGAGAGGAGACGGGGCTGTCAGTCTTGGGTTCGTGCGAGCCGCTCACCCGGGGCCGCAGCCCCTCGGCACAAGCAGGCACCGGTCACCTCAGCAGGAGCCCGGGTAACTGGCTATGTAAAGCCTGCATAGCTTTGCCTCCCCTTTGCAAATGGCTGCACTGAGGCCCGGAGACCCTGACCTGCCTGAAGATGAGTCATTGAGGGGTCAGAAGAAGCCTTTGGTTTCAAGGTTCCTAACACCCCACCCCCAGTGCATACACACATGCGCGCGCGCACACACACACACACACACACGCACACACCCCGAGGGTCGGAAAGTGCCTGAGCGTGAGCCAAGTCTGCTCTACCTCCATTCTCCTCTGAGGAGTCACCTGAAGGAGCTAGCATTGGGGGCCTTCGGTTCCCCCCTGTAAGATGGGCCGCTGCCTCCTGCCAACATCAGCTAGGAAAGTAGCTTCCCAAACAGGCAACAGGGACTGGTGTTGGAAGGCTCTGCTGTGTTTCCAGGAGAATCTAGACTGCCCTTCAGGCCCAGAGAGGCTGCGCTGGCCTTTTATCTCAGAGCTAAGGAAATAGAGGAAGGAGAATGACCATGAGCCCCGGGCTAGCTGAGCTATAGCAAGACCCCACCAAATGAATGAGTGAATGAATGAATGAATGAGTGCTCTTGAATGAGGTTAGCGCATTTTGCTCCTTGAGCAATGCAAAATGGAATGCAGGGCGAGCCCACAGGACCCTGGGTAACTACAACTGCAATTTGTGAAAGAAAATCTCCCAGACATTCAGGGACGGACACCTTTGAGGACAGGTCACGGCTCCCCGTTTAGAGGTTTGAAGTGAAATCAAAATACCCAAGGCATTTATGTCTCGTTTTTATGAGTTCCTTATTCCAGCAAATGCTTCTCCATTTTGGATGGAAAAGCTCCTGAAAAGCGGAGGGCAGTGGAGATGCCCCTCCAAGAGAAGGCTGGGGATCCCAGGCGACTTACCCAAATGGGCCACCGCTAGGCTGGGGAACAGTGCAGGGGACACCCAGAAAAAAAACGGAGTCCCCAAGGTGCTGGCAGTGCCAGAGCTGATGAGAGACAGGCCTCCGAGGAAGGGCCTCTGCTCCCAGCCCCCTGCCTGCCTGCCTGGCTGGCTGTGCAGCCCTGGCCCCAGACCCCAGGTGGGGTTCCCCGGACTGTGAACAGGCCCACACAGGCCAGGTAATCCTTGCAACAATTGGGATGCTTTGTTTAAAGCTCTCCTCCCCGCCCTCCCCCTCCAGAGGGAGACGTCAGCCTCTGAGCGCAGGCCAGCCAGGAGGCAGGAGAGGAGGCTTGCCTTCGGCTGGGAAATCAATCTTGCAGTGTTGTTTGGAGTCAGACAAGATCAAGACACATAGGTGTGTTCCTTGTTCTGCAAAAACAAGCCCAGTGACGCCCGAGGAGCTTCTTAGGCCAGAGGTTCTCAACCTTCCTAATTCAGCCACCCTTTAATACAGCGCCTCATGCTGTGTGACCCCCAGCCATAAAATGATTTCCATTGCTGCTTCGTAACTGTCATTTTGCTCCCCTCATGAATCATAATGTGAATATCTGATTACAGGATAGCTGACCTCTGGGAAAGGGTCGTTCAGTTCCCAAAGGGGTCACCACCACACCGGTCGAAAACCACTGTCTTAGGCCCGTCATGGCCCGGCCCACTCTGCACGTAAGTATTTCTGGGCTCATTCACTTCCTCCAAACCCAGGGGAAGGAAGGAATGGCTTTTACTGTTTGCTGAGTTTGGTGACTCACTCCCCTTCCTGGCCTATTGATGACCTATTTGGTTAATGTCTATTTCTTTTCCCGTTTTACATCATGTTATTAGCACTGCCGGAAATGAAAGCTAGCTGCCTTTAAAGTCTTGTTTATTGTTGTTGTGCATGTGTGTATGATACATGTATGATTGCAGGCAGCGTATGTGACGTGGAGTCAGTCTCTCTTTCCACTGGTTGGTTTTGGGGCTAGAGCTCGGGTCGTTAGGCTGGCGTGAAAAGTGCGTTGACCACTGAGCCATGTCACCAGCCTAGCCTCTGGGTCCTAGCCCACACGTAGTCCTCCCAACGTGCTCCCCCCAGCAAGCACCCTTGTCCTAGGGTCCTGAGCTAGAAAAGCCATCGTAAGGTGTCCCGTGACTACAGCACCTGTGTTAGTTACTCTTTCATTGCGGTGACCAAGACTGCCAGGAACAACTCTGGGGACAACAGCTTGGGCTCTGTGCACGGTGTCAAGGATTTTAGTGTGTCACCGGGCAGGCATGGTAGCGTCTATGGAGGCTGGAACGTGTGGCTGAGACCTTCACATGGTGGTGGATTAGGAAGCAGAGAGAACAAGCCAGAGGCAGGCCCAGGCCATAACCTTCAAAGACAAACCCCATTTAGCCTTGTTCTACCATCGAGGCCTCACCCCTGCAGATTCCAAGCCCTCCGAAAACAGCACCACTACCATAGAGAATCAACTTCGGAACCACAAGTCGGAGACATTTTAGACTCAACCCATGCCACCAATCCCTGCTTCCCCAGTCCGTAGTTAGACACAATGTCTTATACTTCTATTTATTCTCAAAAGCAAATGTCTTATTTTAGTTGTTCTTCAAGCATATATGCAATCTCTTAGGATTTTTTTTTGAACACTACATTGCTAAGATGTGTCCACATGGTTGCTCCTTGCTGTACCGTTCTGACCGTTACATGCTATTCTGTTGCTAATTCACTGATTAGGCAGGCGCTGGGTTGCTCCTGTCAGCAACTGTACTGTTTTAACATCCTCATACGTGTCTCACACACACACGTGAACAAGTTTCTCTTGGTATGTACCTAGGAGTATACAACTGTCAGGCTGCAAGCGGTGAGTGTTCACCTCGAGGGGAAAATCCCAAACACCTTCCAAAGCCACCCTCTAGAGCAAAAGCATTTCACATATTCGGTGTCTAAAACCTTCCCTGGTGTCGCAGGCCCATAATCCCAGCTCCTTGGGAGGCCAAGGAAGGAAGGTAGTGTTCAAGGTCGGACTGGGCAGTTAGTTTTTGATCTCGTATCAAAATTCAAAGTAGGCCGGGTGGTGGTGGTGCACGCCTTTAATCCCAGCACTCGGGAGGCAGAGGCTGGCGGATCTCTGTGAGTTCGAGGCCGGGCTGGACCGATAAGCCTCCAAAACAATACAGAGAAACCCTGTCTCGTAAAAACCAAAAAAAAAAAAAAAAAAAAAAAATTCAAAGTAAAAAGAGTTCGGGGGGCGGGGGGGGGGATAGCTCAGTGGTAGTACATTTGCCTAGCTTGCATGACAACCTGGGTTTACTTCCCAGGGTGGAAAACCAAAATAACATTTCTCGGGTTCTCGTCTGACCCTGTACACCCCATCATGTTTGCAGCCCCAACCAATGCAGGGTGACAAGCCTGGTTTCCGTGGAACGCCACGTCCGTCCCCCACCCTCTCCTCTCCAGCCCAGACGGGTTCAGGGTAAACAGCCTGGCTCTTCCCTTCCCCAGACTGCCATGAAGAAAGCTGCTAGACTTAGTAGACTTCCTAGGGGAGGCCTTACCTTCTCTGAGGAGCAGATGGGAGGTGTAGGGGGAGTGGGGGGAGGGGGAGGAGGGGAGGGAGGGGAACTGGGATTGGACTGTAAAAATAAATTAATAAAATAAACAAATAAAAGAAAGAAGAGAGAAACCTGCTAACATCAGGTCCAGTGACACATGCCCAGTGCTGCCTGGCCCTGCTAATTTGTTGGGTTCACACTGTCTTGGGAAACCTGGCCACATTCTCTGGCATGTTCCTCCAATAAGCCCCACGAAAGGGATGAGGCACGGGAAGAGGCTATATCCCCTGGAATAATGCTCCACACGTCATTAAATCGATGTGCCTATAATAATAGCAGTTTTTCTTATTGCCAGAACCCACTGGAGAAGTCAGATCACTCTGTATAGGAGAGTTGGGTGTGTTGGGCTGATGAAACAAATTCACTGTTCAACAAACACTGTCTGGAGTTATAGCTGGCACAACACACGAGAATGTACCTGCCAGTCGGTTATTGTTTTGAGACAGGGTCTCACTCTGTAGCCTAGACTGTCCAGAACTCACAGCGGTTCTCCTGCCTCATCACTCTGGGTGCTGGGATTACAGCATGCGTGAGCCACTATATCTAATATCAATTTTTAAATAAAAAAATGAGTGTGTGTATAGATGTGTGTGTAGATATGTGTGAGTGTGTGTAGATGTGTGTGAGTGTGTGTAGATGTGTGAGTGTGTAGATGTGTGTGAGTATGTAGATGTGAGAGTGTGTGTAAATGTGTGAGTGTGTGTAGATGTGTGTGAGTGTGTAGATGTGTGTGTAAATGTGTGAGTGTGTAGATGTGTGTGAGTGTGTAGATGTGTGAGTGTGTAGATGTGTGCGAGTGTGTAGATGTGTGTGAGTGTGTGAGGATGTGTGTGAGTGTGTAGATGTGTGTGAGTGTGTGTAAATGTGTGTGAGTGTGTAGGTGTGTGAGAGTGTGTAGATGTGTGAGTGTGTAGATGTGTGTGAGTGTGTGTAAATGTGTGTGAGTGTGTAGGTGTGTGAGTGTGTGTAGGTGTGTGAGTGTGTGTAGGTGTGTAGATGTGTGTGAGAGTGAGTAGATGTGTAGATGTGTGTGAGAGTGAGTAGATGTGTGTGAGTGTGTGTAGATATGTGAGTGTGTAGATGTGTGTGAGTGTGTGTAAATGTGTGTGAGTGTGTAGGTGTGTGAGTGTGTGTAGGCGTGTGAGTGTGTAGGTGTGTGAGTGTGTGTAGGTGTGTAGATGTGTGTGAGAGTGAGTAGATGTGTGTGAGTGTGTGTAGATATGTGAGTGTGTAGATGTGTATACATGTGTGTAGATGTGTGTGAGAGTGTGTAGATGTGTGTGAGTGTGTGTAGATGTGTGTAGATGTGTGTGAGTGTGTAGATGTGCATGAGTGTGTGTAGATGAGTGTGAGGGTGTGTGAGTGTGTG